ATTTCTATTTATCGTATATAGAATCATTATATGAATCACATTATTTAAATTAGGGATATAATATTTAACGAAAATATTACTTATTATCTAAATATTAAGAAGTTTAAAGACGACTTTAAAATTACTAGTAAAGAATTTACTAACTTATTTAATAAGATAAACAAACTTACTAATTAACCTTCGGGGGTATCTGAACTATCCTATATCGAAGGCTATATATTACTAAACGACGTTAATAACGGTAATATTAAACTTCTTCCATTAAATATGTTCGATTAAAATTAGGAGAATTATTAAAGGAATTAAAAAGTTTCCTAAAATAAAAATAATTAATTATAGGCAATATTAATTTAATAATCTATTAATAATAAAATGTTTATTAAATATATTATAGATTTATACCCGTTATTTCTATTTACCCCGCTAACTATACTTTGTACTGGCTATTCTATCGACCGAACTGTCGATTAGTACGTTCGTTATTAAGAATTATAGGAAAGTACTTTTAACGTTAGTAAATTAGCCCAATTAATAATTAAAATAAACGAAGAAATAATTACTAAAGTGGAAATCAAACGGTTAATTATAAAACACAATTATTTTAATAAAATATACGAATATAATTTCTCCCTAATAATTAAAAAGTACTATAATTTAAATAACTATATATTTGGCCCATGATTTAAAGAAATAGAGGAAGCTTATTTCAAGAATTATAAAGATATAAAAAGGTAGATCGAAATAAACGAGGATATCCCCTACTTTAAACGTAAATAAATCCTTAATTATATAAGAAACTCTATCTACACGTAGATAAAACTCTATCTATACGTGGATCCACCTTTTTCTCTATATATTTTCCTAACTCTCCTCTTCTCCAATTGACTAAATATACCTTTTAATTCCAACAGCGCATTCGCTCCCCGATACGGCCCCCAATAGCGTATTCGCTCCCCCAATAGCACATTCGATCCCCAACAAAGTATTCACATTATATTCGAATTGTACTTACGTAATTGCAATCGCTGTCGCATGTTATTCCCTATCGTCAATTAATTTTTTTCGTCATTTTAATTTCTCCAAAGGATGTTATACATTTTTAAATATTAGGGTCGCGAATAGCCTATTCGGTATTGCGAATGCGATGTTGGAGGAGCGAATACGCTATTGGGGGCTGTGTCGGGGAACGAATGCGCTATCGAGGGAGCGAATATACTATTGAGAAAACGAATACGCTAAGGTACTTTTGCAGAAGGTATAAGGCGGCAAGGTTAGGGTTTTATATATAGAAGAAAGTAGATCCACGTACAAATAGAGTTTTATCCTCGTGCAGATAGAGTTTCTCAATTATATATAAGTTTATACTTATAAATTTAACAAAAACAGGATATTTAATAAAGTAAAAGCGAGGCTCATTATAAAAAGTAACTAATAGAAAAAGATAGGAGCTAATACGTACGCATTTACCTTTGCGGGTCAATTATTTCGTACTATTATTGCTCTCGCTATTCGCTTTAATTTTAAATTTATTTAATACAACGCAATTAACGTTTTCGTAAATACTTACCTTAAGAAAGAAATTTATATACATATACTATTAAGGTACCAAGTACCCAGGAAAGTTCTTAAATTTATTAAGGTCCTATACAATTTCCGACGAGCTCCTTTACTATAGTAATAAGAATTAAGCAAGGTATTTAAATCAATAGGATTTAAAACAATCCTCAAAAACCTATATATTAAAAAGAAAGATAATATTTTTATATTATAATATAGTAATAATATCGTCTTTACGTTCGATAAAAGTAAAATAAAAGAAGTTAAAAAATATATAATAAAATTACAATTATAATATTATTTAATATGAAGAGATAAATTCTAATAGTTTCTAAGTATTAAAATTACGTAATTGAAATTAAAGAAAAATCCAATTATTTTAATAGGTATATATTAATAAGATTATTAAACTATTTAAATTTAATTACCGTCCAACCTTAGTACCTATAGTATATAAGGAATTAGTTCCTTATAAGAGCATTACCAACTACGTAAAAATACGAGCGTACCAAATTAATATTAATTCTTTACTATACGTAGTAATTAATATTCGATTAGATATTATATTCTCGTTAAATAGACTAGTTAAATATAATTATAATCCTAATCCTATTCATTTACCAGCGAATGAGAAGGTTATATAGTATTTAAAAATAATAAAGATATAGGCATTCTATTTTAATAGGAGGAATAGATTCGAAATTGCTTTTAACGGTTCGTTTATTAATAATAAAAGTAACCATAAAAGCTGCTAAGAATTTACAATTAAATTATATAGTAATTTAATTTATTAGGGAGTAACTAAATAAATCACGGTTACTACGTTAACGATAGAAGTAGAATTATACGCAATCGAAAAAGTAGTTAAGGAAATACTCTTTATAAACCAATTAATATCGGTATTAGGAATAAATTTATTAGAGGATCCTATTCCTACTCTATATTATAATAATTAATAAATTATTAAGGCACTTATAAAGGAAACGCTTACCTTTAGTATAAAAATAAAGTACGTAAATATCTATAAATATTAATTAAGGAGAAAGATTCTCGAGAAAAAGACCTTTAATATCGAGTATTTATAGATAAAGTTAATACTAATAAATAAATTAATAAAAATATTAGGTATTTTGGAACATAGGAAATTCAGGGGATTATTAGGGATAGTTAAAGTGCTACTGTGGGAAGATAGCGGAGGAGGAAATAATCCGGTACTGGGAGAAGTGGATTTCAATAATCTAGATAAAATATTAGGATAGGAGATATAAATGACGAGAGTAATATATAAATAGCTTCACTTTTAACCTTAAAGAGGTAAAAGAAGTCTACAAGTAAGGGGGTATATCAAATTCTAGGGTGGTATTCTAGCCAGATATAGGCTAGATGCCAGAATCCCAACCACCTAATTTAACAAGTCTTAGCAAATATAGGATACCCCCAAACCCCCAGACCTTCTGCAGAGAGAGCGCTCGAATCAATTACACAGATTCAATCGATCACACCAGTAAATCTGACAAAACCCGTCTCGCTGCGATAGATGTTCGGTCAAAATGCGAAGTGGAAGGAAGACAATCATCACCATATCGCTGTGTCCAGTTAGCAGGAATGGAAGGTTTTCGTTTGCACCAGAATCCCCACATCACCCCCCAGTCCGCCGCCGGCAGTGATTGGAACTTTCGGTCACCTGACTTCACGTATCGGCGCCTTCCCTTCCCTCTCTCTTGCCTCTCGGATTCGAAAAGGCGCAGCCGCGTTTCGCAGCGCAGGGCAGCGATACGGCTGAGCCGTATTCCTGGGAGTCAGTGGAGTTTTTTTTTTGAAAGTCTGGGAAGTGGGATCCGAGTTTTGGTCGGTCCGGGGCGGGGGCGGAGACGGCACGGGTCAGAGGGGTCCACGGGATGATCGGCGTCGTTGAACCCTGTTTGTTGTTAGCTTGCCGAGTTTGCCGAGCCCGAAAGGATTGGGCAAGTGCCGGGCCAAACTTGGCCGAAAAATTGATAACGAACAACATCCCATGCCGGGGGAGAAGTGGAATTGGAACAGTCGGCTTTCGAGCATATTCCAGAGGTCTGCGAAACTTCCAGCAGAGGCGTTAAAGAAATGCAACAGAAAGGCAAAAGAAGAAAAACGATGTTGTGCACGGAAAGATGCAGAGCGGTTGATGGCATGACCAGCATGGTAAGTGGCTTATGGAAGCCCGGAGGAAGAGAAGCAGCATGTTGTACTTGTTACGCCTCATCCGAGCCGACGCCTCCCCAGCCTCTTTTTCTTGTCATCTCCCCAATCCTCCTCGGAGAAGATCCGTTGACAGAGATATGTAACAACACCAGAGCCCAAGTGCTGGTGCTCGATGTTCAAGGGCATACATTATGCGAACAGGCCGATGTCATGTTACCTCTGGTGATCCCCCGCAGTTTTCCCATTTACCTTTTCATCATTCTGCGATTGCCTTTTTGCTCAATTAGGTGGAAGTCAATATGCGATAGCCACGATGATTTGTCTGACTGTACCGACCCCATATGTTATGGACGACGATGTTTTTCATTGGCGGAGTTGCACCGGTCGTGGGAACTGGTTGAATACGAGAAATGCTGAGTGCCGATCGTCCAAAATACCTCCACTTTTACCCGCTGCTAAGGTCCTGCCACTGCTGCGACTGCTGCGAGGATGGTGTGAGGGTGAGGGTTTGTTTGTACGTCGATACGAAGATTGAAACTCCAGAGATGGGAGCATGAATCGAATGTTGGGGGCATTCGGTTTTGTTCTCTCGGAGTTTGGTTTTGCTTGCACGGTTATGTGACTGCAATATGTTTCAAAGCGAGGTCAGAAGAGCTGCCAAACATGCTTTTACCTCTACCGTTTGGCGTTTGCTTGTCTCTCCCGCAGCGGTGTTTCTCCTGCGAAGCCGTTACGAGTTGATGGTTTCACAACATCATGAGGCTCGGTGAGTGAGCCAGCCCCTCCAGAACTCTAAAACCAAGCCAACAAACAAACAAACAACAGCATTCTGTACAGACTTGGCATAGTAAGCAACGAGCAATACGGAGTTTCATAGCTTCCAACCATTGTCGACGTTGCAAGCCTTCGTACTCGATAGTCGTCTAGTTGCTCACGAGACTTTTTAGGGTGTTCTTGGCTAGATTGCAAAACCCGGGCCAGTGCCGCCTTCCCTTTGCTTTCTGGTGCCTGCCCCTACCCATGACGTCCAACAAGGCAACGTAAGACTGCCAGTTGCATAGTGTGGGGATTCAGAAATCTATTTGCGGCGACAAGATGTTGCAAAGTGCCCGTATGGTACGTAGCAGGCTCGGTACTAGGTCCCTCGTGTCGTGGGTGGTGACTGACAGTACTACCGCATTTTCTCACTCATAACGGAGATGCTCTTTCGGGGAAGGCCACACCTTATGCGGGCGTTTTGAGCTTGCTCTTAGCTGCATATGCAGCATCTTGCCAACTGGATTGGCTCATAAACCTTGCATTATCCACAGAGCATCTCCGTTATGAGTGAGAAAATGCGGTAGTGGATCTCCGTAACCACCACCATCAGTTACGGACAGCACTCACGATGCCGTATTCCGTTCTTTCCATGTCTGGGGTGGTGATGTTGTGTTTGTGAACGTTCAAGGGAAGAAGGAGCTTAGAAGGGAGGAGGATCTTCGGGATGCATATAAGGGTCCCGTCCTCTCAGTCCTCCCTCGAAAGAGTTTTGCTTGACATTCCACATTAGCATCCAGCTTCAGCCTCCATCTACAACTCACTACTACTACTTCACCTTAATACTACCAAGTCTTCTTCTTGGATAATACCATAATCACCAAGCCAAACCAAACCAAACCACCACATCACTTCCACATCCATCAAAATGCAGCTCTCCAAGATCCTCAGCCTCTTCACCCTGGCCACCGCCGCCTCTGCTACCACCGGTATGTCTCCCTCTATGTTCACCATGAGGGCCTTTTACCCCTCCCCTCTCGTCACTTTTGACCTTTCGCTAACCTGTCCACGCAACAGTCTCCTACGACACCGGCTACGACGACGGCAACCGCTCCCTCACCGTCGTCTCCTGCTCCGACGGCTCCAACGGCCTCATGACCAAGTACCACTGGAACTTCCAGTCGCAAATCACGAACTTCCCCTACGTCGGCGGCGTCGAGGCCGTGGCCGGCTGGAACTCGCCCAGCTGCGGCACCTGCTGGTCCGTCACTTACAACGGCAAGACGATCAACATCCTTGCTATCGACCACGCCGGCTCCGGAATCAACATGAGCAAGGAGGCGATGGATGCGTTGACTGGTGGCAACGCGGAGCAGTTTGGACGCGTGGATGCGGTGGTTGCTAGTGTGCCGTTGAGCGCTTGTGGGCTTTAGGAGACGAAATCAGTGGCAGGGAGGAAATTGAAGGGGAGAAGTGAGGGTGGTGCACGTGGTGATTCTGATGCACATGGGGAGGATTCATCCGCCACTTTGACATAGGAGGTGAAGGTCGGGAAGGCGGTTATGGGATGGATGCAGACGACGCCAGATACGCCGGCACAGGAGAATGGGGGGTCGAAGGACGACGATTCTTCGTTCATCACGAGATTGTTTTGGACGTGGAACACGATTGCTGGTAGATCGGCGTACCTGATCGTGGCGTTTTTGTTGGTGGTGAGGATTGGGCAGATTACGGATTATCATCGTTAATGGTGTATGGTTAATGAATCAATGGTTATTATCACTCAATGTTGTCCATGCTTGTCTTGCTTGTCTTTGATGTCTTTCCTTCTCTGAGGTGAAAACGGACGGCACCTGCGCTCTTTGTCGCGAGCCAAATAAATGCCTTGCACTCCATTCATCAACACATCAATCACCACTACATCCATCCAGCATAGTCCACAGCGTCGTTTTCATCATCAACGTCTTCTCCTCCTATCTCCCTGTTCCAACGAACCTCCCATAACACCAAGCCCCACGACTCCCAGTCCATGTGCATCCATCATGAACATCTCGGCCCCAACCTCCCGGGATCGCCCAAGTGCGTGTGTTTAGGAGATCGACATTGCGAACGGTGTGCGGTATGTAACCCACTTCCCCACACTACACTACTTGCACTGCGCTGTAGATCGATTAACGACTGGGGTTGACATGAGGGAGGGCTGGAGTCAAAAGGGTCCGGTCCAGTCCAGATCCACGAGAAGTGGCCACCGTTCAGGTCGGAACAAAGAGAGCGGTCGGTCGCGGTCGGTCGGCAGTCTTGAAACCTCAAAAGATCGAAGCAAGGTGTTCTCGAGATTTTACTGCGGAAAGGGCGATAATTTTCTCTCTGTCCGCCAAGCTTGACCGCATCCATTCTTTTTTTTTTCTTTTTTTTTGTTTAAGAAAAGTACCCTACTATGATTCCATGGTACCTACCAGTGAAGTGGAAGACACAACTTAAGCTCGCAGTGGATGATGAAGTGGAAGTAAAGGGAGTAAGAAAAGAAAGGATGAAGTAAAAAGAGAAGGAGGGGATAAGTGGCTGAGTCGGCTATGTACCGGTTGGGGGTATGTTCCTGGTAGTTGATGCGTCCGTTTCTCCCTGACGCTGGCTGTCCTGGATGAACTTCATGGATCTTCCTCTGGGAAGGCTGAATGCCCTTCGTTGTCTTTGCTTTGTCTAACTAGACTAGGTAGGTACCAACGCGCTACTTCCAAATCATCTGGCGCCGCCTTTTAATGCATGGGACGAGTGTCTGGCCTTATTTTGGTGGTAGTTGCGAACCGGGAACGGATATAGCAATCTTTCAGGGCATCTGGTCTTGTTGGGAGGTGGTCGGAAGGAAGGAAGTAGCAGCCACGGTGCATGTAGTCCAAATAAGGTTGACCAGTGGTTGTCGAATTAAGGTTGGAGGACTGAAGTACGTGTGGGGAAGCGCCGGGCCGGTGCCGGATGAAATCCGGGCGAGATGAGACAGAACAAAAGGGTTGGGATAACAAGTCCACGTCTTTTTACTTCAAGCTGTATCCTGTAATGGCCTCACTCCCCCGATCATTCGTACAGTCACGCCGGACAGACAGATGGACAGATACCTCTAGGTAATTTAAGTCGTCCTTGGAGGTCACGATTGAACTTGCCTTTGGTAAGAGGCACCATGTCGGGCATTCTCACTGCGGCAAAATTACCAATCCTTGTATCAGCTGGATGAAGTACGAGAAGAGTGGATGAAGTATAACCTAAAACTGATGGGAGATGTCAATCAAAACCTTGTCGAGCCGCTAGCTGGCCTTCCAGTCCAGATCGTATCATTTAGACTTGATACTTCTGCCACTGACATATCTGGTCATACCTATCGTCGACATCCATGGGCAAGCCCGGAGTCCTCGAGCTTCAAGCCCTGGGCAACTCTCTCTCTTTACACCAACCAACTAATCCAACATGCCGCGCGCTGTTTAGCACTTATCATACCTAATAATGACATTCCACTTATCCGTCATGAAGACTTTGCCCTTGGTAGCTAGCTCAGACGCGCCACCAACAGGTGTGAAATGAGACTCTGTGCCACAGTGGTTGATAATGGACTGGGCAGCACCCGAAATGTAACCGAAAGTGTCGATTGTCTTGGTAAAGGTGTTCTGGGGTTAGGAAGGCGTCAATAAAGTTCTGCTTAACCGAAGGAAGTCGGAAAGGCTTGTAACGTACATCGTTGCACCAGTAAATGGCTGAGTTGTATGAGCAGCTGACTCGTCCACAGTTTCCTGGGCCTGGGCCGTTGCTCGGCTTGCCGGGGACGCCGTTGAGGTACACCAAGCCGGCCTGAATGGCCTTCAAGCTAGCATAATCATAGACATTGCAATTGAACGACTGGATGGTATATCCGCGAGACTTGACGGGCGCAGCGAGCGAGGGGCTGTTGTCGGGGTCGTCGAGGCGGAAATCAGAAACGAAGGTCGGGTTGATTTTCTCCAGCTCCTCATATACGTTCTCAACGGTCCCAGTGATGTTTACGGTAGGACCTCCGGGAGTGGTCTCAACCTCCCAAATGAGCTCCTCAATGCCGTAGCCAGGAATGGGCGAAGCATCTCTGTTGGCAACAGTTGGCGCGGCGACAGCAGGGAGAACCTGTATTGATGAGGTCAGTAAAACATAAAGCAATGTATCCCAAAGTTTGATACATACCTGTAGCATAGCCAAGATAGCTCCAGTGGTAGTAACAGAGGAAAACATGATGATGACGATTTCTGACCCAGGTTTGCTTGTTATTGTGTCGATGAAGTTGATCGAGATAATAAGAGCCTCTGAATGACAAACTTGTTCTCCCTTTTATACCCCGAAGAGAGGGTCAGCATCAAAGAGTTTTTTTACCTTGCCCTCTTTGCCAAGTCCTCACCTGGCATATTCAGACCAGCAGCAGACGGTGTCCTACGGGGGTCGTTGTGGTTTCTCTCACATGTTGGAGCAAATAGTCCTGGCTTGGGTGTGCAAACTACATCGTCGAGCACGACGCTGTGCTCTTAACGAAGAGGGGAAATGGTTAACAATGCTACCTTCACTGCGCTCGCGAACTTCAAATGAGGAGGTGATGCAGAACCGAGTTGCAAGCGCGACAGTACACACAGTGTATATCAAATTTTGGAGCCGCATGCGAAAAAAGCAACCCTCGACTTCGAATGGCCGGCCAAGACTGCGGATGAGACGGATGCAAAGAGGATCTCCCGAGCCATCTACTACAGGCTGGCGGGCAAGATATGGTGGTGTGAGCGTGAACACTTCCACTTCTCATCCGGACTTCAAAGACGCTGGTCCTGTTCCCCAGTTGGATCCCAAGTAGAATCGGGCTGTTGCCGACCAGCATCGTTCACCGAGGTGACTACCTCCATGAAGACTCTGGTTCCCAAGTGAGACTACGAATATCTCCGAAACAAAGGCAGTGACGCTGGGACAAGAGACCGTATGCGAAACCAAACGGGCATCTCGAAGGACCTGTGCGTTCAATCACCACCATCGCCATCACCATCACCATTGCTTTGAACCATCGAAGATATCGGCGGTGCCTTGGAATATAGACGGGAGATCTCTAGGACTGCCGTTCAGTGACTCTCCCGCTTTAAGGATAATAAATGCCTGGACATGCTGATCGGGAATCGTGTGACAAAAAGGAGATGGGCATTTATCAGAAACAGGAAGAATCGCCACAGATACATGTTAGAGCAGTAACATGCCAACGTGGGTCAGGACCGGGTGCCCATGCCTCGATGCTGATGGATGGAAATGGAAGAGAGAGCTAAACGGAATAGACCAAGAAAGTCGTAAGATCAAATATCAATTGATTGGCGCACTTGCGTTGCGAGAATCCAGTGTTGTCAGCGCGTCGATTGATGGTGTGAAGTTGTTTTGTGAAGAATGTCTGGGACAAAGGTCGTGGTCAGTTCCACTTCTGTTGTGGAGAGTCGAGGTTTGGGATAGGTGGGTGGTGAGGTGCATACAATAAATTCTCCAACCCTCCACACGCGTACTGCTTATGAAATGAGATTTGTGTACGGCTTACATGAATTGGTTGTCTGTGCGGGCAGGCCACCCATTCAGATTTTTGACCACAGGCGGAAGATGGGAAGGTGCGAATAAGTTAAAGCATTTCACCAAGCAACACTGCACGCTGCCTCACTTCCTTCCTTTTCTTCTTCCAAAGAAATTGAGGTTGGTGACCCGATGCACGGCCCACCGATGTCGGTGACGTGGACGGGAACATTCAAGTTCGTTTGCCACGCTGCAAAGCTTCAAAACTGAATGAAGGCACACCCTCTTGACGATTTCGTTACCCTTCAATCTTCATCCAACACTATGATCACCGCCAACGTCCAGATCCAACAACAAATTGACGTCAAAAAGTCATGGCTCTGGAGTCAAAGAATTGGACAGACTGACTTCAGCCTCAATGCTCTTTCCCAATGACAAGCGGGAACAAGCAGTCTCAGTCCTGTCTCGCTGATTCGACAATGGCTCAACCCACCCTCACTTCGAGAAATATATATTCTGGGATTCTAGGCGCCCCCTGGCCCAGCTTGCCGCATACCCGCAGCACAAGCAAATACGTATCTGCATTCGTTTCTGCTTCGAGCCTTTGACGTGCTAGCCTTCGAGACATTTGATTTTCAGAGCTTGATATCTTCCTCGTATGAACCTTGTCTAAGAAGCATCGCAGAGTATTCATGAGACAGGGAGGCACAATCTTCTCTTCTCTGTCTGTAACCCAGAAAACCAACAAGAGTTGCAGCCATACACATGCTCTGGCCTTGACCAAGAAAGAAGTCCAATGAGAGTTCAGTCTGGAGGTTGGGACGGGAAGCATTCTATGAATCCCACCGAATCCAGACTCGCCCACCCTCGACGAAACAGCCAATGCGCGAAGGCCTTTTAAAAGTGCGGGGGATATTCCAGAGTCATGGGATTTTTGATAACAACTCGATGAGCGAAAATTGCATGACCCATGCATGGCCTTGGAGAGCATGGGCATGGGCATCAATGGCCGAGCCACAGGATCCGTCACCCGCTCCATGTCTGGGGCGACAAAGTTGCCGCCCGCAAATTGATTACCGATTTAATAACCATGGGCCAGGCTCGAAACAGATGCGATAGTAGGGCAAGGTTGAGGTCGCCGTCCGTGACCCCGTGGTCGACGTATATATCTATAATCTATATCATAGAAGCAAAGTAATGGATTGCTCGGCCCGCGCTTTGTTCGTCGTCGTCCTATAAATCCTCGCTCTTCCTTTTTCCTCATCATCAATGCTTCTTTCGCTTTCGAGTTAGTGCCCCTTCGCTCCGTGTTGATCGGAGGGTCTCTGCCAGATTGCGGTCGAAGCTCCTCTCCGGGGTCGACCACATCCTCGGGCCCAGGCTTTCTCGTTCATAATCTCCATCTCTTCTTTTCTCCGAAGCGAAAATCCAACCACCAAAGAAGTAACTGTGAATCGGAGATTTCAAAGCCTATCGAAGGGGAGGTCAACAACCGCCGCCAGTTGAGTTAGCCGCATCGAATCCCGTTCGACCTGTCAGTTGCAGAATTGCGGATACAATCAACCCTGAAGCCGGATCGACACTGCGGTAACCATGACTAGGTAGCGACGAGACCGATCGGAAACTTGAACGACGTTCCATTCCACGACTCCTAGCAAAGCGAGCGATGAAAAGACTTGTTTCAAGCGAGACGTCCGTTCCGTCACCGTCGTCATACTTGGCGCAACCGAGGCAGCCTTCAGAACGACATGCTGATGCCATGCCGAATAGCTGATGCGGAGAAAGGCTGAATACTACGACCTATCACCAATATCGCTTCAAACTCAACTTGAGTGTGGAAATTGCTCACATTCTGTTGCGCTGCTCGCGTGACCATACCATCTGGTGAAGCCCAGCCGTACCAGAACCGACGGCGCACCGCTGCCACTTTCTGCTTCCAACATCACACCGGTGCATGCCCTGAAACCCAGCATCGTCCCCGTGGCTCTGGATCTGGCCTTATACAGAACGAACGCCCAGACCAAAGTTTCACGAGACCTTAGCCGGAGATCCCTCTACGCTAGTACCAAACAGACCACCACTTGACGGTGTAGCGTACCGAGAACGCCGACAGCAGTCCAGAAGCGAGCGAGGCGCAGACAGACAGACAGACAGGCGAAAGTCAACTAACAAACTCGCCTTTCCACCGCCGTGTGATTTTCCGTGGGCAGGGTGAACTGAGTGAGAGATCTCCTTGCGTCAGTGTGTGTTTTACCCCTGAGCTAGGGGGGTTGCGGACACTGTTTGGACAGGGGGCCTCAGCAAGCGACAAGCGACAGCGCTGAAAGCAAAGCAACGAAAAGCCGCGACCGTTGACATCGCATCGCATCGGGCGTTGCCGGGGATTTTTGCTTGTTTGGAAAAATATTCCGATTCAGCAATCCAACGCCCTCAACACTTAAACTTCTCCGACAAATCCCAAGTTTGCAAAAGGAGTCGAAACAAGGACTGACTGTGTTTTACGGGAGGACGGGGCCGACTGGAAACACATTCCAAATCCTTTGCAGTCCGCGACACCGAGACAAGTGGGCTTCTGGAAACGTTTTGTCTCGAACAATTGCAACTTCGGTTTCGGGCCCGCTCCATGTTGATCGACAGCAAAAAGGGCTGTGCTGTATTTGATACCGTTCCCCGTTCTTGCTTCCCCGGCGTTCGTCACTGTCACTGTCACTGTCACTCCTGTTTCCAAGCGTTGCAAGCAAGTGGAAGTCTCCAAGTACCATTGAACTCTATTTTTGTCTTTTTTTCTTTTGGATCTCTTTGTGTCCTACTCCACGCCATCGTCGGAAGCGAGTGACAACATCATCTTTTCTTGCAAGCAAGCCAAGGACGATTAGCAAGTGCGAAAAACTGAAACATACCGGAAGACCTTTGCGGAATTCCGTCCAGTCCCGTCACCTACAGGAATTCAAAGACGGGACGACAGTGACGACGGCAGGGGATCCAATCGGGAGGGTCAATTGAGAACCCTGAAGCCCTAAACAAAGCCCCAAAAAGGGGTCAATCACCCTACCTTACCACCTTCTCAGTCCAGAAGGTGCATTCAGAAAAGACGGACGGGCAGTCCGGGTGAAGCAGGTAACATCGCATCGGGTCGGTCAAAGAAGTTCACTTGGTCAATGTTAGTGGTCTGTCCACAGTGGGCTCATTGGGTGCTGCAGTGTTTGGAACACCGAATTGACCCCGGCCGCTCGGTTTCGGGTGTACCTTACAGGCTCGGACACCTCTACTCGTTAATCTTCCGCTGTTAGCGGTTTAGTGCGCTGTTCCAACGAACTGCACGGCGGGGTCGGCTAGCGGGCACGCTCGGAACACCCTGAACTCCATCAGCAACCCCTGCCCACACCGGCAGTTCCATTCGTCGTTGGAGAATCAGGAGACGGGGGGAACAACCAAGCAGAGACGAAAGAATTGATTCCAAACTGTGACGTCTCCTCCGTCTCGGTTTCGGAAACGAGGAATAGCAGAAGGTCTGTGCCTGCGTCCGGCCTGCCTTGTCCACAGGACCGGGCCAGATTTCTATACCGTACCTTACCTTACGGTAAAGATGGAGTTCCTGTCGGGCTATGCAGCCGCAAGGGCCCCTTTATCCGCCTACCAGGTCGAGCCGCCTCCACCGTCGACTTCATCTGCTGCTGCTTCATCTTCTGGCCAGCAGCGCTCTTCCTCCCATCGTCGAGCGCCGCGGCCTCTTCATCCCACTCGCTCCAACTCGACCTCGGGCACTCACTCGCACAGAAAGCGACGCCAGCACGGCCACGCCCGCCTCAACAGCGCCAGCACCACCGGCAGCTCGGGCGCTCCTCTGGTCAGCAGCGCCGCCGGCCCAGGTCAACATCATCATCAACATCATCAATCGTCCTCCCACCACGGCCACGGCCACAAACATAAGCTGTTGACGCCAGCTTGGTTACAACCACAACCACCATTGGATTACAGCCACGACGCGGCCGCCACCGCTGCGAACTCTGCATCATCTGGTGCCTCGGCGGGACCGGGACCCCGTGCGACCTCGTCTCTCGACCATTATCGCTTCCTCAGTCCTCCCTCCTCATCCCATCATCATCCCGAGCGGATATCTACGTTTGGCCGATACCCGAATATACACAACACGCACGATAGCAAATACTTGACGCCCCCCAATACTGGCAGCGCTTCCGAGCCATCGTCAGCCCGGTCGCCCATCTTTTCGCAGGGTGGTCACCACCGCGACCGAACAGACCCGCTCGCGCCCACCACGAGCAACCTCAGTCTTGTCGGAGGAGGAGCTGGCGCCTCCATTGCTTTCGCCGCCCACGCCGCCTCCAGCATCCTCGAGCGCAGTCGTCACGTGCCGCCGCCCCAGTCCCAGGGGCAACAACATGCCAGTAGCGCAGCCGGCGCCATCATGCCTCTCTCGTCTGGCACCAGCTCCAAGATCTCTGGTTACGATGGCTCCCGCGCCGAAAGTGTCTCCAGCATCGCTGGCACCACGATAAGCAGTCGGACATTTCTGTCGAGCGATCCGCTTCCGAACCCCGACCAGCTCGCCAACAACCAGGCCAGACCTTTTGTTGTGCGCAATGGCCGAACGTACATCTCCGACCCGACACTAGCGTACCCGCTACCCGTCGATCTCGAGGAAATACACAGACAGACGCTGAGGACACTGTTGCTTCTCCAACTCTTCGGCAAGCCAATATGCTCGCCCGAGTTCGCCGACCAGCCGCCCAAGCGCATCCTCGAAATCGGCTGCGGCTCCGCGGTCTGGTCGATGCTCTGCTACAAGCACTACAAAAACCTCGGCCAAGCCGACGGCATCTCCTTTACGGGCATTGACATTGCTCCCCTGGCACCACCCAGCAGCTCGGGCAACACCGACGGTAGCGACGGACGCCGTAGCAACCGCGCCTCCTCCTCCTCGGCTACCTTGTCGGCAGCGGGCGGCGGCGGTGCCACCAGCTCTTCGGGGATGCACCCCGACCCTTCAATGAACTGGCGTTTTGTCCAGCACGACTGCCGCAAGTTTCCGTTTCCCTTTGCCGACGCCTCGTTCGATTTGATCATGTGCAAGGACGTGTCCCTCATCACCACCACGACCATGCAGCAGCCTTTGATCGACGAGTACATCCGCCTCTTGGCGCCCGGGGGTGCCGTAGAAATCTGGGAAAGCGATCATACCTTGCGCATGTTAAGGCCGCACGTCCCCGAGCATTTGCAGAATTCCTCCGCATCAGCGCCGGCCGCTGGTGGCGAGGATGGTCAGCCCCTCGAAGGTACCGAGAACAGCGAAGCTGAGAAAAGCCCCGAAGAACTCGAAGCCGCCGAAGCCGCCCGCCTAGGCGCCTACGTAATGACACCCAACACCCCTCTCTCCTCCCCCCTCAACCATTTTCTCGTCGAATACAACGCCTGGCTCTCCAAAGCCCTCGAAGCCCGTTCTTTGTCGTCTATGCCCTGCACCCTCGTCGGCCCCATAATGCTTCAAGAAGCCGAAACCTTGACAGGGATGGGTAACAAGCGGCTTGCCGTCCCGCTATCAGAAGTCCGTTGGGAGCGCGAGGGCGTAGGCGGTGTGGTGACCAAGGATGGAAAGGCTTTCATCTCGACGAAACCGAGTTTGTCGAATCTACAAGGGACGGAAAACGGTGGGGGGAAAACGTTGGGGCCGGAGGCGCGGGCACTGAGGAGGACGGCGTTGACGACGGTTGTGCAGATGATTCAGAGCTTGGAGCATATACTGAGGGATGTGTCGGGAAAAAGTCAGGATGAGTGGGATGCGTGGATGGGTAAGATGATGAATGATTTGGTGAGGGAGAATGGGACCAGTTGGGGGGAGTGTTTGGAGGTGGGGGCTTGGTGGGCTAAGAGGAGGTGAGATTTTTCGAAGGTGGGAGGGGGATGGGGCGAGGCTGGGGAGGTGAAGGGAAGGGGAGGGAAGGAGAGTGGATGGGTGTTGAGGGAGGTGGAAGTGAAGGAGGTGGAGGTAATTTCTTTTGCGCTAGAATGGTAATTTTCTAATGGTGGTCTTCTGTGAAATGGAGACCAGGAATGGGTGAGCGTGTTTTGGATATGGGCGGATGGGATGCATTTGGGTAGGTCTGGTGGTGGATGTCTTGGATATGGATGGGTGGGCTATATAGGTATGGACAGGTATATAGGAAAGGTCATTCATGAAGCAATGTCCAGCCCTTTCGCATTGTGCTCCATCCTATCTCATGTGATCCAATCGCCTCGTTTTCAGCGCTGCTTTACCTTCATTTGGTCTTGTTCGACCGCACCTCTGAACATCTAGGTCATGATCGTTTCACTGTCACCTCATGCGTTGCGGGGAAAGATATGATTTCCGTTTCAAGGTATAAGTACACAAATCAACACGGTCGATAAACCGACCAACCAACTAACCTAAACCACCCGACCCTCTCTGTAATTCAACCGAACTCAAGCCTGATACTGCTGAAAGGCCTGTTCCCCTTCATACTGCTTCTTTAACGTCCGGTACTTCTTGAGATAGTATCTGCCTTCGTCAGCTTCATTTCAACCTACTTCCAAAACAGTGGTAGGTAAGGTACTTACAATGCTTGTAATTCTATATGCCCCACCGACACACCGTATTCACCACCGGAACCACGTCAGTCAGCCAGTGCTCACAGAAAACCAAGGAGGTCAAAGGAATCGGGCATGTCCGAAAGGGAAGGGTGTGGGGGCGCTGGGATGAAAAAGACATACCCTTCTGAACAAACTGCGCCGTGGCAATAGCCTGCTTGATCTCCCCCTCGTCCCGTAGCCCGGCCTTGGACATGAACGCGCGGTGCAGGCGCGGGCGGAAGTAGGAGTAGCCTTGGGGGTATTCTTTGCCCATGTGGAGGAGTTCTGTTTCCGTCAGGCATGTGATGTCGTATCAGCAAGGTACCTTACTCAAATGTGTTCGTTGTGTTTATGCTTTCGCATATAACTGGTGGTGTAAAAATGGAATGGATGGGAAGATAAAGTGATATGGTGGGCTGCGAGTGAGATGGAAACGAAAGGGCTCTGGAGGCCAGGGCGAGAATGGAAAGTGATGTGAATGAAGCGAAGGATGAGAATGGAAAGTGAAGGAATATTTGCGAAGGGGGAGAAAAGTGGTTAAGGAAAAGGAGACGGGTGCTTGGTGAAGGTACCTAGGTAGAAGTACCTACCTTTGTATAGTTGGATGACTTGTCGACGAAGTACGGGGTTGGGTGGTGGGAGTGCCATTGTTACGAACGGTGGATGATAGGCGTTGGTTCTTCACCAGGGCTTTTTTTGGTGGGTAACTGAAGTAACCCAATGAAAACATAAACAGATGGTAGATCAATTGATGAGTGTTTACATTGACTGGTGATGATAGTGATGACCGTGGTGGTTTGAAAGGGACTGGAGGTAAATGGAGTTCGTGCGCAACACCATCACCGAGTACCGTAGCGTGACGTAGGAGTGGAAGCTCTTATCTTATCGCGCTGGCCAGTTGGGCTACGGCGTCGACCACCTTCGCGCTTTAACAACATATGAATTGGAAATGGTCTGAAATCTCATTGTGGCCAAACGAATCTGGTAATATCACAGATCAAATGTTTCACGAAGGAGTGAGGATGATTCCAATGTCGAGTGGGAACTGGAATGCCAGTGTCATCGGCATGATCCTGAAAGCCGGGTACCCTGACCCGGGTGAAGGCATACGCTAACAGGCTTGATGATCCTCATCGGAGACGAGCCGCCATTGCGATTTCACATCTTCTCATACTGCAATTTTTTCAGAGAGATAACAATTTTTTGATTGACGACAAATCCAGATCTCACACTTTGAGCAAATACCTTGAACATACCGGCAGGCTGGGTGTCATCGGCCCAAGTCCCCGTCATCCGATCTGTTAGCGGAGCCCCACCCCGGCTAACCCCGCTGCCGAGAATGACGGGCTCGATCTACCGATTGACGACGACGGGCGGCCGGGCACAAGGGGCCGAGGTCACCGGATTGAACGTCAACCAAACTCCCTTGGCTCCGCTCACTTACAACACATCTTGATTAGTGATCACAGGGTGCATTAGGTGAGTTTCGCATTTTCATCCTGGAAGGAACCCCTATTCGACCGAACCACCATCTTTTCTCCATCTCGCAACATCCCGTCGTCATCTCCGTTATCGCAGTTATCGCCGCTATGCCGCCCTCTCTCATCCCGCGCTGGCACCTCGCCTCGGCCTCCCGACAACTCACCAAGTCAGCTCTTCGTCCATCCACCACCACCACCACCACTCAGTCATTTTCAACCTCAATTATCCGCCCAAGCGTCCACCACCCCTCCCCAATCACGGACCTAGACAAGCAAATCCCCAAGCCCCCACCCAAGAAATGGATCACCGACCTCCCCGCCCGCCTGGGGAAATGCATCATCTTCGGCTGTTCGCCCAAACAAATCCAAGATGCGTCGGTGATCTTGAAAGCTTTGGCTACGGAATGGCGGGAGTTGTTGGCTGGTAGCGAAGGGTTTCTCACGGGTGGAAGGAGGGGACTGGATGGGCGGGAGGTGGTGTGGGGGGAGATGGATAGTTTCGTAAGTACCTACTACAGTTTCTTTGAGTTGGGTATGTGGAAAGGGGATGGAAGGGAAGGGGAGAGGGGGGGGAAGGGGTTGACGGAAGGAAGAAAGGGAAAGGGGCAAAGACGGAAGGAAGAAAGGGAAAGGGGGGAGGGAGTAGGTAGATTCGGAAGGAAAGGAAAGGGAAAAAAATGGATGAATGACGATGAAGGGAGATGGGGACAAGGAACCGGAAAGAAGAAGAGGTGGAAGGGGAAGAGAATTTTGATCCAGGGACAATACCTCTACGTAGCATGGTTGGGTGAAATGAGAATGATGGGAGACGGGGAAAGGAGGGTGCGGATGAAATGGAGGGAAAAGCATAAGGGACAATGGTTAGGTACAGAGGGTGGACGACTGGAGGTGAAAGACACGGAGATGATAATGAGGAAGGAGAAGCGGGATAGATGAGCTGAAGAGAGGGAATAGAAGACGGAAGAAGATGAGGGAACAAGAGGGCAGATGAGATGACATCAGGAGATATGATAAGTGCTGACAAGAAGCAACCTACACAGGGCCATGTCAACAACGTCAACTACTACCGCTACGCCGAGTCTGCACGAGTCAACTGGATCACCAACTTCTCTGTGCACGTCGACCCGGCTCACCGGCAAGAGTGGGCGGAACTGATGCAGCCAAAGGCCATTGGTTTGATCATGAAGTCCCTGAAGTGTGACTTCAAATTCGTACGTCCCTTTACCCCCCCTTCCTCCCCCTTTCCCTTTCCCTTTCCCTTCCAACCTCCCTTTTCTCCTCATCAACCCCCGTACTAACCCAAATACCAGCCAATGGTCTACCCCGACCGCATCTCCGTCTACCACCGCCTCTCCTCCCCACCCCAACAGGGTGTAACCAGCTTCTTCCTCGACTGCATCGTCCTCTCGCACCAACACCGCCGCGCTGCCGCGCGGCTGGAAGAAGACGTCGTCATCTACGACTACCGCAAGGCAGGCAAGACGGCCATGCCGGAGTTCATGCTGAACCAGTTCGAGAAAACCTGGAAGTTGCAGCAGGAGGAGACGATTAGAGCCCGCAAGAGGATATGGGAGTTGATTGGGGGCGTGGAGAGGTTGGAGAGGGAGACGTGGGATCGAGAGGATGCGAAGGAGGATTTGGGGAGTGCTGTTAAGGGGTTGCCGTCTTGAGTGGGTTGAGGGATGACTGGAGCGAGGGACTGGGATGTTGAAAGGGAGATGGGGTTGGCTGGAGAAGGGGTTTGGATAGCAGGTAAGTGAACAAACAGTATTCATGGATTGGCGAAAAGGATATGCTGACAATGGACACGGAAAAAAATAGATAGTAATAGAAACACTTGACAGCCGAAATTTTGGTGTTAAATGGACTGTTTGATGCCAGCAGGTGAGCTGCTAAGAAGAGAAGGCTAAGTAGTATCGCGTTACTTCCAAGTTTAACAACTTTGCGCCTCTCATTAGCCATCCGCGATATCGTGGACCCAGTGTAAGGATGGTTGGGCAAATAGTGGAGAGTATTCGTTGACCCTGTCAGTGGGATTCAAGTTATCTTGAAAGAGGCCTAACAACGGCTGCCACTCCGCGCCTTCCCTTCCATCCTAACTTTCCGCCTCCTCTCGTCCGGACCTTCCTTCATCCGGGACCGGCCTTGCGGGTCCAACCTTAATTTGACTACCACTCGTCAACTCTAACTCAACACGAAGACATTCAGCTTATCCACGAACATTGCCACCATCATGCTCTACTCGTCATTCATCTCCGGACCTATATTAGCCATGCCTGCTGCAGGTATGAGCCTGCTTCTAGAGCCACCTTCTTCTTTAAGTACGAATGATTAACTCACCGGCCCTCCCCACCGCCGCCGTCCCAGCCATCGTCCGCAGAACTACCCCAAACCATGACGGTCCTATTTGATGTCCGGCTACGGCATCGAAGATCCTCACCTGGAAGTTCCGGACTGCATAGCTCTAACACCACCGCCAACATAACCTACGGGCACCAGCGAACAGGTCATCCAATACGGCACCGAAAAGAACAACAACACCCTACGGTACCTAATCACTAGCCAGATCGGGAATAGCTCTTCGGTTGACAAGGGCTCTAGAGGTTATAACACGATCCAACACAACCAACCACGAGAACGACGAACCGTATGTCGCCACAAGTTGAGCGTTATTAATGCTAGACAAAAGATAACGGCGAACCGGCTAGGTAGAGATACTATTGCCGACGGGGCTGATGTTCGACTTTTCATGGCTGGTATCGAGTCTGGTACCTGCGAACAGTCAAGGGGGATGCCGGTTAACTGACCGGGCCCGGGGAATCCGCGGACGGGTTAGTTGTAGTAGGTAGGAAGGCTGCCGAATTTGGTGTGGTGCAATGATTTATGTCTTTCTGTGTGTCCGTCTGGTCTCGTCAATATTTGGCTCTCGCTTCAATGTCATCCATCCCACAGCCCCATTCTTCTTCCTTTGATAGGTAAGGTAGGAAGGGATAACAGCTGGATTGGGGGGTTTGGTTGTGATGTAGAGAGGGAGCTGTTCAACGACGTCACTAGTACCTCGGACCCCCGCTGGAAGTCAAGTGAGGTTTGATGCCCTTTGATCAAGAGCGGTGGTGGTGGTGGTGGTGGTTGTGGTTGTGGTTGTGATTTGGGAAGCGGTGGTGGGGCGTGCCGTTCGACGTCCCTGCACACTTGATCTCGACGACCAAACAAGTCACTACAGATTTGCGGAGCTCATCCATCTTGTAGAGCTGAGTTGCGGGTTCAGCTACCTCTAGGCTTAGAATCGTTTTGCCAACACTTTTTTTTCTTTTCGTTTCTTTTCTGGTTTTTTTTTGGTTTTTTTGAAAAAAAAAAAAAGAAAAAGGTCCCAATATCAAGTCACTAACGCAACTACTAGGACGGTAACCCCCAAAAACGGAGCTGTTTGCTTGTTGGCTCAAGACCATCATTTATTTGTGGCGGATCACTATAAAGACGGATTTAGGCCGCGTTTCTTCTCCCACTGTTTGCAGTATAAATATTTCGCAGTACCGCAAAGACTCGGGCCGTTCGTTTTCAATTTCCAGGGAAATCTGGCATAGTCTGTAAACATTACTGCAACATTCATGCCCGCCAGAAATTGTATGCAAGACGGTGATTTTAAATGTCCCTACCCTCCAGCGCCCTTGAAAAGACACGGGGAAGAGACAGGGCACCAGAAGAATCGAATTTACAGTGCTCCGGGGTGGCAACACGTCTCTCCCATCTTTTTTGCGGGCATAAAATTCACATATTCGGGCATACGCATGTCTGATTATGCCAGGTTTCACTAGAAGTTGAAAACGAACGGCCCGAGTCTTTGCGGTATGGCCATCTACAGGGAACTCCCCGAAGCTCACAGGGCGGAGCTGGCGTCAAATGGTGGCCATACTGCATTGACTACACGAAAAAGCATGGATAGAGGTATGCCGTGCTGTCTTGATCACAAAAGACCGAAATTTGGTCATGCATAACGGTACCTCTATATATCTTTCACCCGAACGTTTGGAAGTAAGGCTAAGCGAGGCTAAAAAAGGAGTCAGAAAAATCATACTGCAGGAGATGCAGATGCAAGCGCTGTATGGACCCCGAATACTGCATACAGTGAGAGAAGAAACGTGGCCTTGCAGGTTTTTTGAAAATAAATGTAATGCACAGACGCCGAAGGACTACGGAAGTCCGTTGAATTTATTTCTCACATATCCTGCCTTCGTAGTTTTTCCAATGGTCCTGTACGCTAGTATAAAACCTCCCCTCTTTCCTGATGTTTTGCCATTCTTCTTCTTCCACCACCATCACAACCTCTAGACCTCTCGCCATTTCTCACATTCTCACCACAAAAGAACCCCAATAAGAAAACTTCTTGCCGTTTCCTCTTGCCATCTACTTCTTCACCAGTATTCGGCCCACCAACGCAATAGTCCAATTTGAAGCTGGAACTCAGTCATCATGCTTCTCTCCAACATCGTCTTCGGAGCCGTTCCAGCCATGCTGCAGGTAAGATATCGAGAGTCACACTCTTTGGCGCGAATCATCTTGCTCATATTATTCGTTCTGCACGCGAAACCAAACACGCACTAATACATATTTTTTTTTACAGATCCATGCTGCCAGCGCGATTCCAACATTTGCAGGGAGAAAGCTCCGTCGTCCAAAATGCCCCTCGAGCGTCGGAGTCTCGATGTTAACTCGGTGAATTGCCATCCCGAGTGGGTCCCTGAAAAGTTGGCCTTGGGAGATCGTATTCCAGAGGGCATTGATTACCTCCGAAAGACCCCAAATGGCAAACCAGCTCTCGGTCCTGGTGCAGGAAATTGCGACCGGGTCAGCTGCTCATGGAATTCAGCCATTTTCTGGTGCAACGAGGTATGTCATTGATATCTATGTCTAGTTATCATACCACTCCCTAGATGAAAATGATTGAACAGTGAATGGATTCCAGACTGACATCTATGTGGTTACAGGGTTCTGAGACAAAGGAGCTCGATAGCTATGGCACCATTGCCGATGCCGCTCAGATCATCCAGGAAGAGTGCAAGCTTGGCGAAGGGGATTATATTCTGGGCCAGGTCTTTATGAAGAACCAGTGGAGTGTCGTTGTTCAGAAGGATGATTGCTGAGACTGGAGCTGCGCCTACATTCTATACCATGATGGCATAAGGAGCATAAACACCAGCTGCCGGAGTGGGCGTCAGTTGTGATTACGGGTACATGTATTGTTAGACACAGGTTTGCCAGGACAGAATGGAGCAAGATATTAGGGACACTAGGCTCCTTCAAGGCCCACGACGCAGATCGGAAGCCAACCGGAGAAGCCGAGGTGGGAATACACTAGAAGGTACTTGAAGCACACAAGGTGGTTTTCTCTGTCACTTCCCGTATTTCCGGGTCTACATGTAACAGACCTCACGGAACAACAAGCTGAGGTGGAAATTGGATACTGGAGAATATGTTCCACTTGCCATATCAATCTCAAGATACGTCGAGGTATAAATAAACGAGTGTTCAACGTCTTTGCGTTTTTTATCCCTACAATCCACTTCTTCTTCTTCTTCTTCACCACACAGGCTATCGGCAGAAGACTGCCGTGACCAGCGAATCAACCTCAGACTCAGAGCTTTGCCCCTTTCCACTTCTCAACACCAACAAACGGTGAACCGCCACGATGTTCAACCCAGTCATCATCTCCGGAGCCATCCTGGCCACGACAATACTCTAAGCCCTCCCGGTTGTCGCCGTCCCAACCTCTCCGTTTGCCAACAGCCCTATCCCAGGATACGGTATCGAAGACATCACCTGGGGGATCTTGACCACTCCTGGAGGTCCTACCGTAAACGCCACGGGCACCATCCAACAGGCCATTCAGTTGGTACAGCAGAACAACCCACGGTTTCGCTCCGATTTTGCTATGGACCTTAAGCCCAGAGGTATCAAAAGGGCTGACGGCAATCTCATGGAGTACGAGTCACTTCGCTGCGAAGAATGGCAAAACGCCGACGCAAGTTGGGACATGCTTGCGGAAGATATTTTCGACCTCAGGCATATTTCCGGAAAGCCGGCTAACGGTCCCGGCCCCGGCAAGTGTGGCCGGGTCCACATCAGCTGTAGAGTAGGGGCGGCGATTTAGTTGGTGTAATGATGTACGTGAACACGGGCAGTCTACGTCTTGCCAAGTTGTACCTGAAGCTCACTTTCCCCGTTTCTTGAGAATCCGGAGAGGAAGGAACTCGATAGTTATAATACCATTGCCGATGCCGCTTACGTCATTTACCGCCAATGCCTTCGACTTGACGTTAGGTTCGATTTCGTGGTCTACATACGGCTAGGTGTATCTCAAGGATAATTGGAATGTTATTGCTCGGGGGGATGATCCGGTTTCTAGTGTAGTACGTCAACATTTGTCTACCAATATAAAGTGCAGAAACTACAAGAATCAAGGACAAACTGCACCGTTGGTGGGAGGCAGTTTGCTCGCGGCTCGTTGATGTCCCGTCCCGTCTTTCTGACCTCATCGGCATGCCTTCCCCTGTCAAACAGCCCATAAATGAACGAGTGACGACCACATCCTAGACCATCGTTTTCTGCCCCATCTACTTCCAACCTCACGACACAACCTACCGGCACAAATCCTCCATTACCAGCACAACACTCTCAAATCTGCCCTCATCCCCTTTTCCAAATCATCCCTCACAATGCTCAACCCCCTCCTCATCTCTCACACCCTCTTAGCAACCACAATCCTCCAACTCCTCCCTATTTCCGTAGCCGCCATCCCAACCGTTCCCAAATCAACCACCAACCGAGCTCCTTTCAACTCTGCGAACGAAGGCCCGATCCACGACTACACCATCGAACCCATAACCTTCCAAATCCCAACCTCCCCCTCCCTCAACAGTCCGACCATAAACGTCACCGGCACAATCCAACAAGCCATCCAGGCCGCCGAGAAAGTCAATCCGGCATGGCGCTCCGATTTCGCACAGGCCACCATCCAGAAATTCAAGTCCCAGAATCTACTAGCAGCAGTGGAAGTCGACCACTGGGACTGCTCGACCGGTGCCCCCACGGGGTACAACGACGTCTCGGAGAGTCTCTGGGCTGTGGCCTTGACTAAGGGAAAACCGAGTTTGGGACCGGGAAGGTGTGGACGGGTTAGTTGTCAGGAGGGGGCGGCGGTTTGGTGGTGTAATAACTCTGTAGGTGTCCCTCTCTGCTCGACAGGGGCCATTGAGAGTTCATGAATGGTGGTTTATACCAAGGTATATATGTGGCTGACGCTTTCTCTGTCTGCTAGGGCCTCGCTAGGAAGGAACTCGACAGTTATGGAACCATTACGAACGCTGCGTATGAGATTTTGGATAATTGTCCTGTTAGTGATGAGGCCCTGGGACCGAAGAGGTTGATTCATGGACAGGTGTATTTGGTGGGGGAGTGGCATGTTGTTATTGGGGGTGATGAGTGTTAGGAAGGGGAGTGGGTGGTTTACATAACAGGTGAGGGCCGGAAACTGGGTATTTGCAGACAGGAAAGAGGGCTTGACGTGTTGGGGGGAAAGGGGGGGGGGGGGGGGGGGGGGTTGGTTGTACACTTGGGAGGTAGCTTCCTTTTTCATGTGGTCCCCGAGGCTAGAGGCAGTGGTAGTTGTTGCCCCAGGGGGGGTTTAGCGACGTGTGCGGTGGCCCGGTGTTCGTGACGGTGATCAAACGAGCTGTTGGATATTTCAACCTGATCATCTCATTTTTAATGCTAGAGGTGATATTCTCGTCCGTAGTACATCCTTCAACCTTTCTTCCACTTCCTGGTATGGGTTTCTGAATCTGGCTCGGTGTTTTTGCGCAACCAGCGGTGTAGCCGTTATCCAGCTGTTTGCGCATAAACCTACAGTACCTTATATTGCTCATGACGTGATCCTCCGGGATCCTTCGAGAGGCACATGGATACCACGAAGTTCACGTTATGATTCTTCCAGGAATGGGTGTCATACGAAAGGACTGGCGGATGTTTTTTTGCGCCAAGGACTGGGAAGGATTTCAACCATTTAGGGAAGTGGAATTATATGTCTGGACCCGTGCTCTTGAGCTGTTGATTGATCAAGCTGGTGTATTGATGCGTTCAGTCTGAAGTACCTTGTCGGGCAATCTTTGGTGACGCGCACCTAAGTAGTTTTTATCTAAAGATGGGCGACAGAGCCGCATGGTACTATAGGACGAAGTTTGCTTCTGGAAAGCCATATGTCCGAGTACCTATATGTGTGACAGAACTTTATGAAGGTTCGTATAGAACACGATGTTTGTTTCCGCGTTTCCGGGGCCGTTTCTGCTACCATGGCAGGTCAGCACGTCAGCGAGTGCGATGTTTGAGGGTGGGATATACGACGTTAACTATGGGGTCTTCGACCTATAAAGGGGTGAGCAGTCTTCGTTGAAGATAAGTTTTCTATCACACATCAGCTTCAGGAACACCACAACTCCAGCAAAGCAATCCAGTTCGAACTATCATCGCAAAGATCATTATCAGGTACATACCTCATCACATTCGCAAGCACGACAACCGCCACCATGGTATTCTCGGCCATCACCTCCGGAGCTGTTTTGCTCATCGCTCTACTCCAGGTTTGTGCTCAATCCCGAACAGTTGTTATTTAGCGAACAGTTTACTTACCTTTACCTGATGATCACAGGTTCTTCCTGTCGCGGCAGTCCCAGCTGCTCTGAACCTTGACGAGAACGGCATCGGGGAGATCGTCTGGGAGATTCAGACTTCTCCTGGAGGGCCCACCGTCAACGTGACGGGGACTGTTCAAGAAGTCATCCGGTCTGCTGAGAAGATTAACCCAAACTTTCGTTCCGACTTTGCCCTTGACCAGCCTACCGAAGCTTCTTCCCACGATGGACAAGAAAAATACGAGGCTTTTGGTTTCGATTGTCAGCCGGAGAGTGACGCCAGCGTGGATCACATTGGAATCGGCATTAACTACCTTCGCCGTGTCCCTGGACGCCCAGTCATGGGCCCAGGCACGTACAACTGTGGACGAGTCAGCTGTGACTGGGGGGCTTCTATTTACTGGTGTAACCAGGTACGTGATCAGCTTGGCCGTTGCTATTGCCGTATACTAACGCTCATTTTACCTGCATCTAGGACCCTTTCAACGACAAGGCGCTTGATAGCTTTGCCGCCATTGCCGAGGGCGCTCAGGTGATTGTAGACGGTTGCAAGCAATATCATACTGAACCGGATACCCATGGCCGGGCCTATTCCAAGGATAACTGGAGTGTTAGGGTGACCGGGACCGGCTTCCTACCTTTTTGCTAAAGACGCGTCACCTGCACATGCTAGGCAGCTAGAAAGGAAGTTTGATACGGGATATAGAGAAGGATTGGGTTTCATTATAATGGAGAAATACAGGGAGTTGCCTCAATTAGCATGGTATAGGTAAAGGTTGTAAGAAGTAGTGAAATCAACGGAAGAAAAGGCGATAGAAAAATACTGGAGCGAGGTTACCGTCGTTGAAGCAGAGTTCTGACGTTGAAGGCTCTTGCTAGGCAATGCTTGAATCGGAGATAAAATTAAACTTCAATTTGCTGACAACTTTTTGATATTGAGGCGTGTCACAGTCAAGAATACAATCTAAACGGGTTGTGCTGATGGAAAAATGAAGTGGACAATCGGAGAGTCCGTCTGAACATAGTCCCGTGGCTGGAGTGGAACGATGACTCCCGGCTTTTATGATGAAAACTGCTTGTGACGGGGAAATGTGCAATTCTCATGAAACAGTCGTGGTCCTTGCCCTCGTTTCGCTTTCCTCTTTTTTGCGTTAATGAAGGCACCCGTCGGGTGATGCAAACACTTCAAGTGACGGTTGAGGGTGGGAAAGAACAGTATATGTGATATTACTGGTAATAATCGATATAGGTTCAACGTGGCTTGATTGTATATCTGTGTGTAAGACTGGCTCTGCAAACTTGAAGCTCTGGCATCTAGGTAAAAATCCCGCATATCCCAATCCAGCTAGGCACGTAAACGGTTAGTAGATCCCTTAGCCTCTAATATACCCTCTTAGATTTAGTATATAAACCACGCTAGATCTACCTAGATATGCCCTGAAATGCCCTAAAATCCTTCCAAAACTAGCTACAAATAATACTATCCCTAAATTGCTTCTTCCTTATAGTAGTTTTCAAATTATTATTCGTAAAAGTCTTGCCTTATTATATTTATTATTATACTTACCAATTCGTTACCCGAATCCTCTTTTGCAAAATTCTCTATACCCTTCAGACAGCTTATAATAATATCTCCGTTATTAAATTCTTATAATTAAATTTATAATTACTATAATTCTACAAATCCCAGTTACTCTATAGATTTTAAATATATTATAGGAAAGATGCTTTTGATAAGGCTATTTATAATCTATTCCTTAGTGGGCACGTAGACTACGTCTACTAATTTCCTCTTTTACGCTTGCCTTAATTAGTATTTATATATATTGATATATTTAAATTTAATTACGAGCCAAATTCCCTCCTTTATAATAATATAAAGTTATAGCACGATAAGGTGAGAATACGTTTAGTATACGATAGTAAATCTATTTTAAAAGGTAGATTTTAGCCTAGCCAGTAGAGAATGTCCGGTTAGGCTATAAGGGTTTTTATTTTATATACGAGCCCTTAGTAGGCCCGGGATCCGGCGCCCGGTTTCCGACTATACGCTTCTATTATTATCGTACCTACTCTACTACTTATTATAACGGCCCCCTCGCCCCGCTTTATTGCTCTTATCGGTTTATTATAACGTTCCGTTCTTCGGATTTAAATCTTAGGCTCTTTAGTATAATAACTTTATAATTATCCCCCCTTTTAGTAACTACAATCCTTTATAATTTAGCCGTATTTCCCGGCTTCGAAATATGGTTTAGGTTTTAATCGGCTATATTTTAGTATAGTATAGGTAGGCCTTTTATTAGCGACCCTTTACCTTTATTTGTTATTTCGTAAATACGTTTATTATATTATATTATTTTCCCCCTTAGTAACGCCTAGCCCTCTAAGTACTTACCCGCTATAATTATTTATATTAAAGAATAATTATTTACTATTCGTCTTTTCTTTTTCTAAAGTTACAGAATTCTTTCTTTTCTTTTACTTCTTTCTTTCCTTTAATAATTATATTGTAACTATAGCTAATATAAATTAATTTATCCCCATATAGGAACGCTAATTTAATAGTAACCCCGTAACGCTTCTTAATATTAAATTTCTTAAAATTACCGGCTTCCTAACTACTTAAACCGAACGTATCTTTTATTAATACCCCTATGACCCTGCTAAGAGCTTTCCGTTTATTTAGTATCCTATAAATATTTTTTTATTAAATTTTTTAATTCATCGGCGATACGTCAGTATTAATTTATTTCTTAGGACGGCGAGAGTATCCCTTACGGCCTTTATTTAGTAATCATTTACTTTAATTTACTATTCCCTTATTATTAGTAAGTTAAAAATTCTAATAATAATTATATACGTTATTAAGCGTAGAAGTAAATTTATCGCCCTATAAATTATTCTTTCTTTATTTTTAGTCTACTTAATTCATTAAGTTTCAATAATTTAAATCTTCAATAAATATTTTAAATTGTTTTAGATTTATTAATATTATATTTTAAATATTATAAGATATATTTAATTTCATATAAGTACCGATATTAATAATCCTTCGGTTAGAATTAATATTAATAAGTATATCCGTTTTAATATTTTTAAAGCAAAACACTTAATAACGACGTTTTATAATCGATTAGAAAAGCTTTTTAAAGAATATATTTTTATTCGGAGTAAAAGCATTATTATTAATTAAATCGTAGAGGAAGTCCGTAATTTCTAGCGTTTAATTGCTATAATTATCGGTTATTTTTATTTTATTTTAAATCCTAAAATTAATTTTAACCCCGCTTAATATATTAATACTATAACTTAAACCGCTAATTATTTCCTTATTACTAAATAGGCCCTAAATATTTTAATTGCCGTTATAATAGTATTAGATTAATTTATTACTTAGCGTATTTATAAATTTACGAATTATTAGTGTAAATTTTAGAAAACGTTATAGAAGTTTATTAATAGCCCTTTTCCAGCTTATATATTTATTTAAATTATTATTTATTAGAATTTAGATAATAATATTAAATTCTATCTCCCTTGACTTAGTTTACGCGTTAATATAGGTCTTCGTATTGCCTGTCCTACGTTATTTTTTCAATATAATTATTTATTTAACTTCGATGCCCGCTTTTGTATTTCCGACGATAATGGTAACGATAACGGCTATTAGTCACCGGTAATTCGCTTTAACGATCCTTCGCTTTTTTTAATCTATTGTATAGAAGACTATTTCCAAATTATTTGATTTATTTTCTATATATTTAATAACGAATTTATTTGTTCTATTTTTAGTAATTTATAATAACGTTGCTATCGTAGAACTCTTTAGCTTTAATTATAAAGAATTTAAAGAGGATATAGATATTAATAAATGTTACTCCTCTACCGATAAAAATGAATCCGATAGCGAAATGGAGCTTTCTATCAACGGAGGCTCGGCAGTCGGTCTTATTTTCGAAAATGGTAAATTTAATTACTTTTTTAAATTCTCCGAACGTTCTAATTCCTCTAATTCTTCTAATTCCGAACTGTCTTTTAATTTTAGGTCGTTTTCTAATTCCGGGTTGTCTTTTAATTTTAGTAATAATTCTAACGGTTTTACAAATTATATAGAATTGGATATCACTTTTTTCGATGGTATTTAAGAAATTAAATCTTCTTATCGTTCTTTTTTAAAATCTTCTTTCATTTCCCTTAATAAATATAATACTATCCTGACCTTTAGTTATAACTATACTTCTATTTAAAAAAGTAATAAAATTCCCATTAGTAGCGACTTTATATTTTTATATTATATAAGTAATATACCCCGGCTTCCTATTAATATGTCTTTTAATAATCATAATAGCTGGTATTTTTATTATTAAAATTTCCTAAATAATGTCCTTACTATTTTTATATCCGTATATTAATAAATTAATATCCACGAATTACCTTTTAATTAATTAATTCTAAACCCTCTTTTTAAATCGGGCCCTTTCTACTCCCGAAGCCCCTTCGGTTTTAAAAATAAAAAAATCTTTACTTTTATTGATAGAAATTTATAATCTAATTCGGGAGGAAGTAACTCTTCGCTTAATAAATAATATAATTCCGTTACTTTAAATTCTTTTATCAATTATCTTTTTAACTACATCCTTTTTCTTTTTATAGAATTTTAAAAATAGGTTTTACCCTTAAAATAGGGCGGGGATATAAATTCTATTAACGTAGCGTTAAAAGTTTCCATAATAATTACCCCCGCATTTTATATAATTACTTTCCTTTTAACAGTTCCTAATTTTTTCGATACCCCCTTTTAAGAAATTAACCTATTTAGTTATTTAAATAAATTATTTTATATTAAAAATCGTTTAGTTTTAGCCTTCGTAATTTAAATTAATAATTCCTCTCTATTTAAAATCGGGCTTTTCGCCGCTTCTTCGGCTGTAATTATATTTCTTATTCTAATAATTTTATCTCCCATTAAACCCGTTATAAAAGTCCGTCCTATTATTAGGAAGGTTTTTCCTTTAGAGGTAGTTCGTTAATTTATAGAGAATCTACTTATTATAGCGCCCTATTATCCCCTTTTTACTAACCCTAAAAAATTAAAAATTATAAGTTACGCTTATATTCTTGAAAATTGATTTATTATATTTATTAAGGGTAATAATCTTTAAATACTTTATTCGAAAATTTTTAACGTTTTTCTAGC